ATTAAAAGGAAAAACAAACGTAGTTTATAATTTTTTCAAAGATACTCACGTGTCAGAAAATTGACGCTATACCATCATTACATATCGAGGAAATGGGAAATTCCAGGAAGTATATTTTATTTTTACTTTGCTGTTTGAGTATCCCAATAATATGGCATGATAGTGGGTCATTTTCGTAATTTGAGTGAATTTATGAGCTTTGATGTGATTAGTTATGTTGATGAATTACGTTACACGGATGACGGACAATAAATCAGAAACACGTGTCTATATTATTTTTACAGGTAAATTTACAGCTTCTGGAAAGGACTACGAAACCTGTTCTATTGACATACCATGCAATCAATAAATCACAGATGTACTATAATAATTTTCTAACTTTTCTATATCTGAATCAGTTATTTGTGAAACCCCAAATGTCCAAAAATAACAATCGCGAGAAAAGTTGAAAAAACTGTTATATGGAAAAATACCTTAAATCATCATGATAACAAGTAAAAAAATATGAAGTTTGATTGTTTGTACGAGATTTTTTTGAAAAAATGATAAAAAAATTATCTTGAATAAAAAAATGAAAATCTGGTGGACATGTGGGGTTTCTAAAATAAACACCCAACTTTTTTGTTTATTGGACACATTAGCACGAGGTACATTAAAAAAATAGAAGACTCGGTCAATTTTCATCAACATCGTCATCGGTGCCACCAACAGTTGGCCATCCAAATATCTCCCTATAAAAGTTTTCGATTTCTTCACCTTTTTTTACCATGAATTCTTTGAACTTTCTGATGCTTACCATCTTTTTTGCACTAATTGGGACTTTTGAGTCAGGGTATGCGACCACTTCGGGAAAAGTTCTAACAGCAGTAGATGTTCCCAACCTAAATTCGTGCTTTATTAGGCCATCAATAAAGTCACGAGCAGTCACAATGCCCTTTTCATCATTGCTGTAGCTGAAGTGCATGAAACTTAAAATCGAAAATGAAATTTTATCTTCTTTTCTAACACACCTTCCATAAGATTCTGTGGACAAAGAATTTTTTTTGTAGTAAAAGGGCCACCATTTCTTATAGTCTTTGATCAACGTATTCTCTCCATCCATTACGTATACGGAAAATTTATTTTTGATGCTTGAGTTGAGAATCAAGGACACATAATGTTTTAGCAGATAAATTCGGTCATCTTTCTTAATTTTTCTCTTCACCATGGCAAAATCCCTGCTACATGGCATGTACGAATGGCCTCTTACTGGGAAGTATTGGATCACAGTCTTAAATCGTCCAAGGTCTGTAAGAACTGAATGGCTTTTATTCTGACCACCGCATCCGTCAGAAAAAATATGGAAATGTTCAATGTTTGATGGAACTTCATTGTTTATAAAGTGCATAATGAAGGAGCACCCCTCGTTTGGTCCTTTTTTGCCCATACCTTCGTGATATACATAAAACATGGTTTTTCCAGATTTTAGGTCGTGGATATTGACGACATCGACAGTTAGTTGATGAAGGTAAAATGTGTCTTGGACCGGAATAACAGGAAGTGCAGGATTTTGCATGTACTCCACGCAAATTGCTCCTACACTGGGGTCTGTTTGGCATAACTCTTCAATCGACTTCATGTTGCTGTAGAATTTTTTGGCTCTTCATTGGTGAACTATTTTTTTCCGTCACAGCTACACGTTTAGCAAAATCGTTCAAGGCCTTAGATTTAATTTTGTTGGAAAGCTCCTTACAGGTGCAGCAGGTGTCGACCTGTGGTCTACCGAAAGACAAGCTGAAACGTTCCTTGAATATCTTCACAAGATTACGTGTCTCATCGATCCTTTTCTAACCTCCTATCTAGAACGTTACATAATGCCAAACATGCTTATGAACGAAAACTCGTTACCTCCAAAAATAAGAAGAAGCTGTTTCGGTATCTAAGAACAAACCTGAATTCCAAAGTTTCATCACCTCAGATCCGCGACGCTGACGGTCATCTCCACATGAATGCCACCGAATCTGCCAACTTACTGGCAGAGTCCTTTAGTAATGACTTCGTCAATGAGCCTAATGGAGACCTTCTACCGACCACTATCTGCCATAGGTGTCCCAACAGCCTTTGCGAAGTTGAGTTCCTGCCTGAAGATGTATTAATGCACCTGCGAAATCTGAAGACCTCTTCCTCCCCTGGTAAAGATGGGATGATGGCTGCTGTACTTAAAAACTGCGCTTCAGCACTGGGCCTACCATTAAGCTTGATATTCATATCGTCTTTTAGATCTCATACCCTACCCTCATGCTGGCTTAATGCTTCTGTTACCCCTGTATTCAAAAAGGGCGACAAATCCTCCGCTAAAAATTATCGACCAATAAGTCTCGTTCCTATCGCCGCCAAAATAGCTGAAAGAATCATATTAGATAAGCTCCTGTCATTTGCTTTCGAAAATGACCTTATCCCTAAGAATCAGCATGGATTTCTCCCTGGTCGATCAATAATGACCAACCTTCTCCACTTTCTCAACGATTGGACTCAGTATCTGGACACAAAGACTCCTGTTGATATAATCTACTTAGATTTTTCTAGGGCTTTCGATGGCGTACCACATAGAAGGCTTCTGTTTAAGTTGGAATGTATGGGAATAAGAGGCGAGTTGTTACTGTGGATTAAGGCTTTTCTCACCGGGAGGACTTTCTCTGTGCGCGTCAGTGATAGCCAGTCTCACCTTCATCATGTAGCAAGTGGAGTTCCTCAAGGCTCTGTCTTGGGGCCAGTGCTGTTCCTTCTGTATACAAGTGACCTGCCCGCATTGATTTCCTCCACATGTGCAGCTTATGCCGACGACACCAAGATTTACAATACTGTCGTAAATTCTGCTTTGCTTCAACGAGATCTTGATATTGTTTGTCAATGGTCAGTCAGTTGGCTTTTACCCTTAAATCTAACTAAGTGTTGTGTCCTTCACCTCGGGAAGACAAATCCGCGATTTACATACAAGATCTCTGACCACAACATCGAAGCAGTTTCCAGCCACACTGATCTGGGCGTTGTAGTCAACGATCGTCTTTCCTGGTCAGAGCATATTCACCACGTTACATCAAAAGCCAAGAAACTTCTATACATGCTGGAGAGGTCTTTCAAAGGATAAAATGTCAACACTTGCGCCTACATTTACAAGGCATTCGTGAGGACAATTCTTGAATTCGCTGGCCCGGTATGGGACACTGTGCTTCTGCGCGATAGAAATCTCGTCGAATCAGTACAGCGTCGGGCTACTCGTATCCCTTTTGGAGCACGAAGACCAAGCTATGAAGATCGCCTTGAATTATTCAACCTGACCTCATTCTCTGAGCGAAGACTTCATGTATCTATACCGTCTGTCGCGCAGCAATCTACGCGGACACAGCTTCAAACTGCATAAGGAGCCATTTAAAACAACAGTCCGACAGTGGTTTCTTCCCAACCGCATATTCAACACCTGGAATAGTTTACCTGAAAGTGTGGTTGATGCTACTTCAGTTAATAGCTTTAAAGTGCAGTATGATAGCTGGAGGAGTGTACAAACTTTATAGCTATGAACTGTCTTTTTTTTATTTTTTTCTATTTGATGTATTTGTGTTACGTGTCCGTACACCATATTTACTGCATGAGCTTATACTACTGTGTACTCTGCTCATCTCAATTATCATAATAATAATAATAATAATCTTGCGGTAAAAGCTATACTTTACAGATGATTCGGGATTGTTTATAAGAAACAATTCATGCATTTTTTTATATCCAGCTTCTCACTAAGGTAGTGATCGTCAGGAACGAATATGCTCCTCTACTTGCCTGACCACCTGTTCAGGTTTTGCATTCCCTGGGGCTTTTTTGCCTCTTCTATCATTAGGTGGCCTTCCCATTAATAATAACTTGCTCAAGCGACGAACACGGTCTACAGTGACTCCGTGGATACTAATAAAAGTTGTTTTGCATACGCGGTGCTTTCCCGAACTGGAAGACACATAGTATTTGTATGATTTGCTTTTTGGCTTTGCATTATTTTGGTCTACTCTAGGTCGTTTCCTGGAAATCTCTGAGCACTCTATTAGAGCCTGCATATATGCATCTTGTTCATTTCTCGTCTCTAGAGCATAAAATCTATCAAAAACCTCTTGCCGCTCACCTTCGGGAATTTTATCAAAACAGCATGACCTACACCTAAAAGTGGAAAATGATATTTTGACCGACAAAACCAAAATGACTCGTATTTCTCTTACCGGCATGGTTCACCTATTGCCCGCTGATTTACTTTTATGCCTTTGTAATTCAGATATTCTTTACCACTCACTCGTGCACCTTTAATCACTTCATTTTTATAAATAACTTGTTTCTGTCCCTTTTTGCGTTTTTTGGGAATAACTTCCGCGGAAAGGTCATCCTCGCACGAATACATTGTGAAAATGAGCTAACGGTAAACACGCGCAACGCATGCGTATGTCATTTGTCGCGTAGAAGATAGGAGCCGTTTATTAGAGAAACACCACGTGTCCTGGACTTGTGGGGTTTCTCAAATAAATCTATATTTTGGACTAGCGCTGACAGCGTTATATCAGTTGGACATATGCGATTTCTCTCCAAACCGTGCATCTATATGAGAATATGCCATTGAGTTCAAAAAGTCAAAATTTTGAATTTATGGACATGAGGGCTTTCTCAAATAAGCGATTCGTCTGTACTTGTACATTTTTCTGTCACATATCCCATCCACTTAAAAATATAATTTTGATATGTGAACAATAGCTCTCAATACGGTCCCGAAATTCATTATTGCCAACGTTACAATATGCTACAGAACAGTTAAACTCCCTTTTTGTAACCTTCCTCAATGTACATGTTTCAAGTTTTATCCCTGACTCATTAATTTTTGATTTATTACAAGTTTTTATTGGATTGCATATCAGGGATAAAAGCATCACATTATCGATTAATGTAAATGATAAACAGTGGATTAGTTACAATTGATCATTGAAATTAGATCAGTACTTTCACGGTATACGCGTATAATAACATTAATGCAATAGAATAGAGTAGTGCCTCGTAATAAAAACAAAACCTTAGAAAAGTAGTACAGAAACGACCTCTTATATTTATAATGTATAATCAAACTAGCTGTGGAGCTCAAGATAGGAGAACTGAATAAAAATATGTCAATACTTTTACTCGCAAGGAATTGAGTGAATTGGTGGATATTCGGGAGTGACTAGTTCTGCCTCAACTTAAACAAGACGTAAGTTTACAAAATAAGGAAAATAAAAATGTAAATTTGAATTCTTGTAACTACTCACCTTTTTAAAAGATCAGACAAAGATTTACTGAATTTAGTATTGGAAAATAGCGTTCCTTAAATGATTTGACACTAAAGAACGCCAAACAACGAGATTCCTTTGACTCCAATGAATTACAGATATTTGACATTACAGACCATTTACATCAGAGTTCCCCAAACTTTTTTCTGTCGTAGACGCCTTGCCATGTTTTTCCGTGTTGGGTAGACCCCCTACTTACCTGATATTGATTTCCTGTAAATCTCTAACTGTAGTGAAGTTTAGTGTTAAAAACTTAAAGTAAAAACACATGCTAATTTATACATTTCTTAATTGAATTTAAATTAAAACTACTCAAAATAAAATTTTGTATCTGTTATGTAAAATATACGTAACATTAAACAAACAGGTGTCTGACCAATAAGTGCCCACATTGGGAATAAGTGCTCGCATTGAAAAAAAATAAGAAATAAACAAAAAGTGAAAAATAATAAAAAAAAAGTTTTTTACTTCGTTCATTAATTATAACATAAACGTATGTTCTACAATAATTTCACTGTTAGTTTGATTAAATTCCGCTTCTTATGCGTTTAAGTTATCTAAAAATAGGCAAAAAGTTTACGAATTTTAGTGTGTACCTATCCTTGAATTTTCAGAATAATTTAAAAAAAAATATTTTCTATAAAGGGGGGTTCTTTAAAAAAATCAACGCGGGCACTTATTCCCAATGCGGGCATTTATTGGTCAGACACCAATAAACATAAAATAAACTATAAATAAAATAGCATAAGCGATAAGTCAATACTTCTAGTGAGAAGGATGAACCTGATGCTTAAATAATAAATTATCAACATTTGGCGTCAATTTTGGAAGGGTTAATCTTAAATCTCCTCGGCTAATGATGTCCAGTCTGTTTCTTTTTTTCGTTAGGAGATTGGTAACAGCGCTGAACCCCCTTTCCACTAGCTATGACGATGGAAAGGAAATTAAAAATTTCCTCGCTATATTCCATAATACGGGATAAGTAACGGGTATGTTTTTTTGCAGCCAGAATTGCTGAAATGCGTTTTTAAACTGAACCTTAAGTTCTTCGTTTGTACTTAGTTCAGTCAGTTCCTCTTGTATTAAGACATTCGTTTCTTCTATGTCACCATATGGATTAATTATCCACGGTGGTATGACCATAGTCAAAATATCCTCAAACCTAGATTCAAAATCTGAATAAAGGGCATTTAAATGTTGGAAGTAAGTTGAAACGTCGTCTTCCTGGCAGCTTGTCTGTGACAAATTGGGGAACTGAGAAAATTCGACCCGTCAAATATTTTGCTTCATTAGTTTAACTCTGGCAAGAAACGCTGATAAGATGGACCTTGTTTTAATCAAATTTAAACTGTCGCCTTGTAATTGCAAATTAACCAGATTAAATTTTGTAAACAAATCTGTTAAATAGGCGATGTCTGTTTTCCTCTTCATTAAATTCTCTTTTAAAATTTTATCTTTAGTATCCAGAAATTCTAAAACAGTCTCAAAAAGTGCAAAAAATCTTGTCAGACGTAAGCCTTTCGACAGCCAACGTACATCAGTGTGAAGGAGTAATTGATGAAAGTGTTCATCATTTTCTTCACGCAACTGCGCAAATAACCGCGTATTCAACGCGTTGTTTCGGATTCGGTTTACTGCATCAATGACTAAATGAAATGATTCATGCAATCTAACACTCAAATGTTTAGCAACTGAATGTTGTCGATGGATGACGCAATGTATTGCTAACACCCCTGACACAGTTTGTTTTAAATAGCTTATAAATCCACGATAACGTCCAACCATGGCAGGTGCTCCATCTGTAGCTACTGATATTATATTTGATAAAGGAATTGCTTTTTGAATGAAGTAATTCTTCAAAACATGAAATATTGATTCACCTTTAGTGTCGGTTATCAAAGTTCTCGCGAAGAGCAGTTCTTCGTAGATTTCTTGATTCATAATAAAACGAACATATGCCAATAATAATGCTGCATTATCAGGTAAAGTTGACTCGACCAGTTGTATAGAGAAATGGGTCGTTTGCAAATAATTACATAAGAAGCTTTCAATATCAGAACTCATTTCATCAATACGTCTTTCAACAGTATTGTTGCTTAAGGGAATTCTTTTAATGATATCAGATGCAGGTTTGTGTAAAACAGTTTTTAAAACCTCTTTAACGGCTGGCAAAATGAACTTCTCTCCGATAGTATGCGGTTTTCCGAATTTTGCTATATGTAACAAGATATTGTAAGACGCCCGCAAACCATCATGATTTCTTTGTGACGTCGAAGCGAACATTCTGTCCAGTGTAGGTCTCTTCTGAAATTTATCTTTGAGTGTTTGAAAGTATTTCAAATCTTTCTCTGTTTTATCAGGGTGGCATCTTCTCAGATGATCTTGCAGTTTAGATGGTTTCATAGCGTCATTGCCCAAAGCTTTGCTGCATAAAAGGCACATAGGCGATTGTTTGTCCGGCAATGATGGAATTAAGCCAAATTTCAAATAATCAATACTGCATTTCTTTTTAGATTCGGACATGGCATCAGTCATCTGTGGGCAAAATTAAATTATTTAAATAAGACAGAAAATCCAGCAGCTGTATATTAAAAATATTTTTTGATTTTTCCGAAAACATGCCGTAATTCGAACATCTTCTTGCAACAATTAGCTGGAATTACGGAGATTGCACTGTAATTATATTACCGATTGCTAAAACTTTCAAAAAGAAGCTATTGAGGAGTAGGTACTCGTGTAATTTTGCATGATTGAATATTTAACTACTAATAACTAAAGTCATGTTTGGCGTAATTTATCTATCTTTGCTAACTACGAGTACAAAACTAAAATTTAATAAAAAATAATGTACTTACTTTTCTCCAGCACTCTCAAACAAAATAACACTGATTCACTATAATTTATGTGAAATACTATCTGTTTATATTTTTTAAAATATTTCCATAGCACTTTCCTTTTCAAGATTCAGGAAACGAATAAACGTATTTGTCCCACGTTCGTATTTATAGAGTGACGAATTGAACTAGTCTGTGCATGGTAGCGAAGCTCCGAGACTGCGACTCTCAGGTTTTTACAAGTTCAAAATGTATTGCGACCACAAAGCGAATACCAACATCCTACAACTTACAAAATTTTATAAACATATATAATAAATTTTTTACTTCATAGGCACTTTTATAAATAACGTATATGTTTTGATATTATAAGATAGTATGATGTAAGTAAATAGGTACTATCAGTGTATGTGTTGAGATCTACTATGGTGGACCCCCATATTCATTTCATGGACCCCCAATTCTTTTTTCGCTGACGTAGATCCCTTGCAGGTTGTCATAGACCCCTAGGGGTCGATATAGATCACTTTGGGAATCAATGATTTAGACTTTACCATTCGCGAGTTAAATTCCCTATCCGGAAAATTACTTTTAGAAAAGTTCATTAAGGAGACAAGTGATTGTTACAAGCAGGAGTACAAATTTGAACTGTCTGTGAATTAACAAGATAACAATAAAATAAAAAATGTCTATGTTGCAAATTCTACCAAGGTGAAGCTCCGTTCATTGTGCTGATATATGACATACATGGTAAAGTTAAAAGATTTTATGGATGTCTGAAACTAATGGTTATCGTCAATCTCCATTTTTCTCCATGGCCACCGCTTGAGGAGTAAAATATTCTTAATATAGCACCCGTTTTTGGACAAGGAGTGACGTGCGGGTCTTTTTTTCCACAAAACATCCCTACATAGAGATTATTTTACTCAATGTTTTAAAAAGTTACAAACTCTGCATCAAAATGGTTGACTTGGTCTAAAAGTATAACCTGTTCTTATTTATAATGAATGGGCGCCCATGCTAATGGCTGTTAAATGAAGCCACAGAGGTGACCAAAACATTGTTTTTTTCATAAACATGGGTAACTAGATCCAACAGCCAGTAGAATTGGTGTAATATTGATTTTTCTATGGAAAAAAATGCAAAATTGTTGGTTACGGCAATTCCATTAAATACAGCAGTTTGTCACCGTCTGAAATTAGTAAGTATTGCACCGGTGGTAACAAATTCTGCACTGTGTGCGTGGGGTAATACAAGTATATGAAACAAAGCTATATTTTTAGAAAATCTGTGTATTAACAGTGGAATTATTAGCACAGACATACATAAAAAGCTCTCCAAGTTATGTTATCGTGTTTTCCAGTTTGGAATCTCTAAGATATCGACCAGTGATTCTCAGACTTTAAGACGTAAGCGTTTTCGGTTGTGTCAACGACCTCCTCTCCTGCACGATCAACCCAATCCACAGCTTCGCTGATGACAGCACTCTACATGCAGGAATTCAGTGACAAGCCGATCTCTGCCGCTGAGCTGGAAAAAAGAAGACTAGCGACGACTTCCTCTCTGGCAAGAGACCTGGAGGCTATCACTGTTTGAGGACGCAACAATCTTGTACAGTTCAAGGATTCCAAAACACAGTACCGTATTTTGCCAAACAGCCATTCATTTCGGCTAGTCGGAGTTCAAATCACCCAGGACCTGATCTGGCACGAACACATCTCGTCAATAGCTGCAGCTGCTGCGAAAAGCTAGGCTATTTATTTAGGCCTAAGAAGTACTTTTCTCCGCATGACCTTCTCACTCTATACAAGGCCCGGACAAGGCCTAGGCTCGAGTATAGCTCACACGTTTGGGGTGCTGCCGCCCCGACTAGATTATCCATGCTCGATGCTGTCCAGAGGAGGGTGGTCCGACTGATCGCTGACTCTTCTCTGAGACTGACAGTCTCGGGACTCTTTCGCACCGGCGGGCCGTCGGCGATCTAGCTCTTTCCTACCGCTACAAAAACGGGCTTTGCTCCTCAGAGCTCTCTTCCATGATGCCGCCGCGCGATGTGGCTGCCAGACAGACTCGCCTGACTTTGGCGACCCATCCTAACCGTGTCGAACTTCGTACATCCAGAACAGGCCGATACGACCACTCCTTTGTCCCGAGGGTGTCGAGATTGTGGAATAATCTACCAGAGGAAGCTTTTCCCAGTTCTACTAACAGGCAGTTCAAAAATCGTATTATCAAAAGCTTGTGCGGCTGTTTAGATATATAAAAAAAATGTGGATCCCACAAAGAATTTTTTATTCGAAAGAACAGATTTACCATTGAGAATGTGGATCTTTCGGCTATTTTTCTACATAGTCGCTATCTTTTCTACGCATTTATTGACGTCAAGTCCACTTTTTCGCTCCCGCCTCAAGGAAGTCCGCTGTCAACCCGCTTGAAGATATGGTAACTGCTCCCCGAACTGTTGACCGTCCTTCAACTTTGGAAATGATGCCAGAGCTGTACAGGGGGCGGGCAATGACTTCCCAGTCAAATCGCTCGATTAAGGTCTGCGTTTGTTGTGAGACATGAGGATGCGCATTGTTAAGGAAGTCCGCTGTCAACCCGCTTGAAGACATGGTAACTGCTCCCCGAACTGTTGACCGTCTAGGTACTCCTTCAACTTTGGAAATGATGCCAGAGCTGTACAGGGGGCGGGCAATGACTTCCCAGTCAAATCGCTCGATTAAGGTCTGCGTTTGTTGTGAGACATGAGGATGCGCATTGTTATGGTGCAGTCTTACGCTTTTGGTGAGTTCTCCCCTACGACGATTTTGAATTGTCCGTTTCAGCTTTCTCAGAAGCCTCAGGAATTTTAACCGCCTGTTCCTGGGTTGTGATTTGACGACCTTCGAGCAAGATTTGCTCAATTATCGGAATTAACCGCCGCGGAGATCGACGGCCTTCCGCTTCGTTGTTCATCGTGGATGACCATGCTGCCTTCAAGGACACTCTTCACCAATTGCTATGGGTGGTAACTTTTTTGCTTGCAAAAATCGGACGACCGCGCGAATTTCCCATGTTTGGGATCGGTGGTGGCAGAGTCGACAACCACGACGCTTAGCGGAAAAGTTACAGCGTTGGGAAGCTTATTTTTGAGTCAACCTCCGTATATTGGTAGTAAGTCGCAAGGATTAGGTAATTTTATTTACCCCAATATGAACGGACTTACAAAGTACTTACTTTTTCATTCACCTCAGCGAATATGAAAGTCTGGGTAACTCCCGTAGAGGTGATTAAAGCTATGAATGAACAATATGTTTTAGCGTAGGAATGGCAGTTTGGAAAGTTCAAAACGGCAAATGGATTTCACCTTGAACATTTTCTTAAACGGAATTGGACTTAGGTGATACACCGGTTTAACTGTAGACCATAAAATCACTACCTTTCAATATAGTGGACTGACAGACTGTAAATTTTTTGTGCTTTTGTATGTAGGATCTGACGGCATATGCAAGTTAACTTTTCCAGTATGATTAGCTGCTGAGCTATTAAGCGATTCAATCTAAACTGAAACATAGTAACATACTCATCCATGTGTGGACGGAATATTACTCAAAAACAACGACATTTTGGGAAAATCTATTTATGGGATGTTATACATGACATTTGAGGGCAAATTTTTGAAATATTTGCCATTATACAGGGTATCCCAATTTCGACCTATATATCAAAGTTGTGATTTTTCAAATGGAATGCCTCAAATTTTATTGCATTTTTGGATAAACCAATTCAAAAGAAGAAAATTGATGTGACATATTATGGAGTTTTGGTAATTAGCTACTGAGATATAAGGTGTTTTGTCTAGAAAAACCCCGCACCTCGGCAACCCCTCAGTCCGCCATTTTGAAACTAGGAGTAATGAACTTTGTATCAAAAAAAGTTACACACCTCAGCTTTTATCTTATTTGTTACTTTTTAGAATTTCAATAACGCAAATTGCAGTTTTTCTCAAAAATTTCAAATGCATCACCCGTATATTTGTGCAAGTTTAGATTCAATTTTTTTATAAGCTTTTTTTGATACCAAACACATAAGGGTTTTCACGGCTATTTTTTGGTTATTAGAACGTCTTTTAAGGAATGGCTTAATTACCTAAAATATCGCATCATCCTTGGAAACAAATAAATTGTTGATTAGTTAGAAACTGTCAAAATTAGCTTTGTGAGCATTATAATAAAAACATATTCGAAAATGAATGAATTTTTCTAAAGAAGAAATGGTGAATAGGGTGCTCGTTTTGGGCGAAGCCCAAAGAAATAGTTTCCTAGCATCTCGTATTTATAAGCAACGGTCAAAACATTTTCCACGATACGAAAATGTTTTGAATGAAGCGGAGCAGTGGAATATAGTAAAAAATGTATAAATAATCTAAGTTTCACCAATGAGGCGAATCAGTTGGAGGTTCTATTAAAGTTGCAGGAAAATCCCCATTTAAGTGCACGGCAAATTGGAGCAGAAACTGACAGGTTTGTAGATATCCACCATCTATCCCGGAAAATATGAAGGAAAGGATTAGGGATGCTTTTCCGAACATAAGGGAACACATGCTAAGGGATGTGCAACGGTCATTTATCCAAAGACTACGGCTGTGGTGGAGATATTTTCGATCAGTTTCTGTAGATTAGGTCTTGAGTAGTGATTGTTGTTTGTTTATGTTGTTATAGTTGTTTTTCTCTATTACGCTTGAAGCTGATTTATACTGTCCTGATTGTTATCAGTTATCAATGCTTAATAACTCAAGATCTAGTGATTTTGTCTGAACCAAAAAAGCTTATAAAGGGTTGAATCCAAACTTGCACAAATATACAGGGTGATGCATTTGAAATTTTTGAGAAAAAGTACAATTCGCGTTTTTGACCACCCTGTAGGAGCAAAAATGAAATTTCGAAAAAGTAACAAATAAAATAAAAGCTGAGGTGTGTAAGTTTTTTTTGATAACAAAATTCAGTACTCCAAATTTCAAAATGGCGGATTCAGGGGTTGCCGAAGTGAACGGCTTTTCTGGACAAAACACCTTACATCTCAGTAACTAATTACCAAAATCACATAGTGTTTTATATCAATCTTCTTCTTTTAAACTGATTTATCCCAATATGCAATGAAATGTGAGGCACTCTTCACAACTTTGATATGTAGGTCAAAATTGGGACACCCTGTATAATTGCCAATATTCTAGAAATGCGCCCTGAAATTTCGTGTATAACATGTCATAAATAGATTTTCCCAAAATGTATTTCTCACACATGGATGGACCACCCTGTATATTCTGGGACTATAAAGTACTGACAATGAGCTTCAAAGGTATAGCATGATCTTCCACTCTAGCCGTTCTAGCTCGACCTATTTAGGATATAAGTAAAGGGTGGATCTGAAAACACTGTAAATGCCAAGCGAACCGTGAAAGCTGTTTTACCTAAGAATTAGAATAACTTTCCGATGTTTATAAGTGTTAGGCAAACCTTTGCTGGATAATCTGCTAAAATTAATGAATATATCTTCAACACAGGGAAATCATGAGCCTGGAGGACTGCAAGAAGCTGTACATCAATGAAACACTGCGACTGATGAAAGAACAACCAGACGGATTTTGTAGAGTGACATTTGACAGTGTGCTGTGTTGGCCACCAGTGATGTTAGATAGTGTTGTGATAGTGCCGTGTTTCTCTGAACTTAACGACGTATTCTACGATGATTCACGTAAGTTTGTCTGAGATTGCCCTACTATCAGTATCTATTTGAGTTTGGGTTGATACATAAAGGTTTAACTTTAATCTGACTAAAAGGGAAAATACGAAGTGAAGGACACTTACTTTGTACTTACCGCGCCTCAGTATACAATATTCATTTTCAAACTGCACATATTTAATCTTTATCTGGCACGAACACATCTCGTCGGTAGTCGCAGCTCCTAGGAAAAAGCTAAGCTACTTGTTTAGGGCCAAGAAGTCCTTTTCTCTACATGACCCTGATGTACTTGACAGGCAGACCCGCCTGAGTTTGGCATCCCACCCTAACCGTGTCGTGCTTCGTGCATCAAGAACTAGCCGATACGACCACTCCTTTGTTCCTAGGGTATCGAGGTTTGGAACACTCTACATGACGATGCTTTTCCTAGTTCTACTAACCTTAGGCAGTTCAAAAATCGGTTTAGCAAAGTGTCTTTTAGTGCCTTATACGAGCCGCAGTGCCCTGGCATTTAAGCTTCTGCCTGCGCGGCTAATTCGGTGTAAAAAATGAAAGTTCTGAACTGCTTTTGGAACTGCATCGAAATGACTTGTGAAACCGAGAGCCATTCAAAATAGGATTTTTAAGGGTTTTAGGTAAACAAAAGTTTTAAGTGTAGCTGCACCCCGGAAAACAAGGTACAGCCAGTTTTTAATTTTTACTAGAACATCCAATAAATGACCTGCAATTTATTTATTTATTTATTTATATACAGTTTGGGATGTTAACAGGTAAACCCAACACACACCCTCAGTGAACTAAAACTAAACTTACATAAAATATCGTATACATATATTACATTATTAAATACTTCAATATTAATATTTTTTTATCCTCCGATATTGTTGTAACAACATAAACTGAGTGAGTAGTTCTAATTATAAGCAATTAACTATTGATTTAACTTTTTTAATAAAAGGAGTATACATAATTTAACATTTACTTACGTTTAATTAAAACTGAAATCAAAATTAAATTGAAATTATACCAGAAATGATATTGGAGGTGATAACTTGAGTTATGTAAAGAAATAAAACATTTCTATTTTAGTCTGCCATAGAGGTGCAATACTCATACTTTAAAGCCTTTTTCAGGGAGGTCAAGCTAATGTTAAATAAATCTATATTACAGAAATTATTATGATTTTTTTGAGCCCTGAACAAAGGGGAATGCAGACCAAGATTGGTTCTACGGAACGGTATTCTAAACAGATGATAGGTTCTAAACGTTCTATCAGGAGTGTTAAAGTTCAAGTTTGCCAAAAGATCCGGACAGTCAGTGAGGCCATTCAACAATTTATGGATACAGCAAATGTCAGAAATCGTTCCTCTATCTTTTAAGGAAATCATATTGAACTGTTTCATAATTTGCGTATAATGATGATCTGTAACAGGTTGGTGAGTTTTATGTGCTAACATCTTCAAAAATTTGTGTTGAATTCTTTCTATCCTGACTATATGTACATTGTAAGACGGATTCCATATTACTGGTGCAAACATCAGTTTGTTGTGTATATAAGCGTAGTACAATGGAAGAAGCGTTTTTGGGTTCGTAAATTCTCTGCATGTCCTGTTTATGAATGACCTAAAAGGTATAGAGTAACGGAATGTAAATTACTCATAATGTATTTGTTAATCTTATGTATTTGACCCCTCCGCTCCTATAACATTGCCTGAACTAGGGCAAATTTAAACTAGAAAAGAGACATACCGTGTGGGTGTTTTCTATCTAATACTAAATACATTGTTTTTTATCTCTGAAACTGCCACGCCTTTTTTTATAAATAAAGGAAGAGGTGTGTTTCCTCCTTTTTTTAATTGATAAAATTAAACGGTCAGTAAATGCAAAACAGCTGGATAGTAGCGTGCAAATTAAGGCTCTAGCTCAATAATGGAGAGCAGGAAGGGCTAAGAGTGCCAGCGACTGAAGAGGGATTTAGCGCCACAAATCCCAGAGATGTCAGTCGGAACTTGTTTTGCTTGACCACCAACATAAAAGAAAAGAATCTAGTAGCAAGCACGTTAACTAATTAATTATACAGATAGCCAAATAAAACGGCAAAATATTTAAAACAGTCACAATATATTAACTAATTAATTAACCATTCCATTGCCACTATTGCTATGTATACGTAAATTAGAAAAAGAAGATATTATTTAAAATTGCACCACAAATTAATGTTTAAATTATAATCCTGTTAAACGTCCAACATGGTATACAAACGCAATAGATCTTACAAATACTATAGCGCCAGAAACTTAATTGAAATATACTAATTAAAAAGAAAACCTTAATCTGGACTGCGGACTTCTTTCATGGACGCCCAGCCGAAATGACCGCAGCTCACAAAAGCTCAGGATTTTTAGTTAAAACCAATGGCCAGCAGTGGATAGTGTCGAAAGGAACTTTACAAGGTATAGGCTGCTTGCCTCGCACTCAAAATTTACGGTGTAAAAAAGCTCTACAGAGAAAGACTGGTTAAGAATATACTCTCTATTCTTTTTATGAAACAAGATTATTCATTAAAACAGTCGAACTTGATAAGCCATGTACATTTTTATAAAAATAAGTGAAGAAAAAGCAAAAAAAAAAAGAAAAATGCATTAAAGTCTTACATCCATAAAAAAGTTATCCCTTGTTCGAAAAAATGTCATGGAATCTCACTAATCAAAATCATGGTCAATGTAACGGAGCAAGCTCGAGAGGTGGTGCCGATGTAGGTACTGGTTTCTACTTAAACACGAAAAATGACAGACAAACTCAAAGCACAATCTAAGAATTTCAGTCAACAGTAATTAATATACAGGGTGACGCATCGAAAACGAAACAGACGCATTTACTGGCAGCTCAGTTTTTTTTGGAAAAACGCTCAGACCCGTCGATTTTGTTTTCGTGGGGGACACAAGTTTGGAAAAAATCACGTTAGCACGTGCAGCCCCCTAAGCGGGGGTAACACCACCCCCAAAATCTTAAATGGAAAGGGGGTCGAGAGATACCTTATTTTAAAGGTTTTTCAATTCCCTTTATAATGATGTCAAATTAATGTACTTCAGTTCAGTAGTTTTGAAGATTTATTGATTTAAAGCTCAAACAAAACTAATACATCATCATTAGTGGAGATCAATACATTTGACAGCAAAGTAATTTAAATATGAAGAATGAACTGACCCGTTAGGCAAGTAAACGTTGAAAATGGCGACCATGACTCTCCATGCAATAATAACGATTTTGCTCAAAACGTTGCCGCACATGTTGCAATATTTGAGGAGTAATTTGAAGGCACTCATTCACAATTCTTTGTCGCAGGTCTTCTAATGATGTTGGCTGAGTAGCATAGATTTTGCTTTTTAAATGACCCGCATAAAGAAATCCAAAGGTGATAAATCTGGCTATCTTGGGGGCCATTCAATGGCACCTCTTCTACCAATCCGTCGATCTGGAAACGTCTGATCTAAATATTGTCGAACACGTAATGCGTAATGTAGTGGGGCACCATCCTGTTGGAACATCAACCTATTCGCAATGTACCGCCTATCACCGGTCAAATTTCTAGGTAAGAAAACAGAACCAACTAAATGATCTCCAAAAATGCCAGCCCAAAAATTTAATTTTTGTGACTGCTGTGTATGAACCTCATGATAAATTCTGGGATTAGAATCGGACCAATATCGGCAGTTATGACGATTTATTACGCCATTTAAGAAAAAGGAACATTCGTCGGAAAAGCAAGTGTTGAATAGAAAATGCGTTTATAATTCGTTGACTCATATCTTCACAAAATTGTAATCGCTGATCAAAATCGTCTTCATTAAGTTCTTGTACCAGGTGAATTTTATACGGATGAAAACTATGGGCCTTTAGAATCGGTTGGACAGTACGTCTAACACCACACACAGTCTCCAATTTGCGGGTACTTAACGTAGGATCTACATAAACTTGCCCTAAAACCCCCACTTCTATTGCTTCGTTCCTTATGGGATTTTCAACGTTGCGTTTTTTATTGGCGACTGACCCAGTTTCCCGAAATTTAGCTACAAGTTGTAGAACATATTCTCCATGCACGTTACTGTTCTCATGTCGCTCATTAAATATTTCTGCTGTGCACTGATTATTTCCAAAAAATATTTCGATGATTTCAACTCTTTTTGCTGTGGAATATACTATGGTTAATTTATGTAATAAAGCATTACAAGTTATTTTAGCAACAAAGTTTGGTCAAATCAATCGCAAACTATGTACTAAATTCCTATTTAACATAAGTACGATATATTTCCTTATCTTTCTTCAAGAAATAACTTTTTTGCCACAAAAACGCTCCAATAGCTATTTTCAACAACAAAATGATAAACAAACCATAGGCGTAGTGAAGAAAAGCATTTACCTATTAAGTAAATTCTTTTAGTCAAATTTCTTCTGAAAGTAGTACTAACTAATCTGATGTACCTATTAAAGTTTACTTTAAGCTTTAAATCAATAAATATTCGAAACTACTGAACTGAAGCTCATGTGTTTTACATCATTATAAAGGGAATTGAAAGACCTTTAACCCTTAACCACAGACATCCGGTCAAAATAAGCGGCTGCAAATTTCAACTGCTGAAATTCAGCGCATCCCCACCACTATCGCTTATGAGCTTCTACGTACCTTCCTAACACTTAGTTTGATGCTATTAGCCGGTGGATGGAGACTGTATTATTCGAAACAAGCGAAATATGGTAGTTCAAAGTTCGCAACCGGTAAAAAATACCGGAGATCTGTATAAACATAATAATTTGGATATGTTGAATTATTATTTTTCTGATGTTTTTAGCCTTATAAATTGAGTATGGATTCTAATCCTGGGCCCTCAAAAAGAGTAAAATATGGAGATGCTGATTTTGAAGCTGCTTTACTGAAATGGGCAGAGGAAGTCGATTCTGGTGGAAGTGATATCGAATCAGATGGCGACTATATATACCATCGGATCATGAGA